CTTATTATTTTTTTCTGAAGTGTTTTTGGTGAGTTTTTGGTTATGTAAGCTACCTGCCTGTAAATTTTCAAGGCATTTTGTGAAGCCAAAAAATAATGAAAAATCGGCAAAGATGGTGGTGTCAAAACTTGCCCACTTACCAATTTGTTTTTTTTCTCTTTTCACTTTTTGTTTTCCTTTTATTTCGGGGCATGAAAAAAACTATTATTTTTCAAACTTTATTTATAGGTTCTATATTATGTAAGATACATATGTATAAAATTTAATGGCATTTGAAAAATACAAAAAAAAAAAAAAAATCGCCAAAGATGGCGATGTCAAAAACGTACGTGCCCACGCAATAATTTCATTCTAATTTTTTTGTTCTTATTTTCAGTAATATTATTTATTTTTTATATTTGATTTTTATTCCAAATTTGGTATCGAATTTGGATGTACTGTTGGGGCAAAAGTTGTTTAGTTTATTCTTCTACATCACATATATTGTTTTTCAGATTTTTTGGAAACTTTTTTTTTTTTTTTTGGTTCCTCGTTCGGCCGAACTTCCGAACGCGTCGAGAGGGGGTCCCGAACGTTCGGGCGTTTGGGTTCACGTGTTCGGCCCGTCCCGAACGCCGGCAACGCTGATTATTATTATTATTATTATTATTATTATTATTATTATTATTTTTTACCTTGGCGATTTTCATCTACAAGCAAACAAACAAACAAACTAAAAAAAAACTCAATAATAATATCCACCCACCCCAGACGATTTTCATAATCCTCAACAATAGGCAGAACAACCAAGAGTGAAGTGGCTATCCTTAGAAACTCCTATTCGGGTATTGGGAGTCTCTCTTACTGCTATTGGGAGACCATTTACCAATGATAAATGAATATCAAAACCTACATTAGAAAAAATGTCACAATGGAAGAATCAACATACATCTTTGTTTGGAAGGACATTACTCATCAATAATGTAATATAAACATCTATTTGGTACAAGTCTGCAATCTGGTCACTCTCCAAAATAGCAATCAAGGCGTTGAAAAAATTACTCGTCTCCTTCCTCTGGAGAGGTAATCATGAATTCTTGAAAGTAATTCCAAGAGTGGCATGGCTTACGATTATCAAGCCTAAATCGAGGGGAGGTTTAAGTATACTGGATCCATCATTATAATGCCAGCCATTATCTTTGCAATGGATGAAATCACTGATATTATCTTCAGAGGTACCCTGGCGACCTATGACCCTAGAGCAAATAAGACGTTTAGCGCCATCTACTATTGAGGGGGTACATCTACTCACTTGGATAAAAAATCGATATTGGTCAATTCCAAGAAAAAATGTTAATCTTCATGAAGAAGTGAGAGAGGGGGAAGAAAACTTGGGGACCTGCCAGAATAACTTTTGGGGATCTCTTATTAAGACATGGAGGCAGCTCCCTCTTCCTAACAGACCTTTTCCATCGAGATATGAAGAAGTATTAAGGCAACCCATTTTTGGTAATAGATGGATCGTAGATAGTAATGGGTGTATTTTTAACAACTTTTCATATCCATGGTCAACATAGGTTAAAAGGGGAATTTTGAGAATTAAGGATATATGGGACCCATCGGTAAAGAACTGGATGATTGTAGAGCAGTTAAAACTAACACTCAAATATGCTCATCAAATATCTAAAAATTTGGACCAAATAATTTTCTCCATCCCTTTGGCTTGGGTTAAAACGTTAAGAAAAGGAATTTGACTGCAAGAATCTGTTGGGAGGCGGGGTACGTTTCGAATAATGTATGGATAATAGGCCAGGTTATATCTCAGCATCAGAATGGAGTAATGATAAATATGTTTCGTTTACAACAGGATTTCTTCCTGGCTAGGTATGATCTAGACATGGTAGAATAAAATGGAGTAATGATAAATATGTTTCGTTTACAACAGGATTTCTTCCTGGCTAGGTATGATCCAGACAGGGTAGAATGGGTTCCCAATAAGATGTTATACGGGATCAGGGTTTTACATCATACAATTCCGGGTGGTACCAATCTTGAAGGATGGCGGGCTTACTATCCGAAAATTCCAATACCTGAACTTCCATTGGACCCTGAGGAATGGATATGGAAGGTCTCAAAGAGAGGTAAGCCTAGAACGCTTCAATCCCTGACTGTCAAAGCGACCTATAGGATGTTGAGACCCAAAGTTGATGTTCAAGCAATTGTGCAAGATAGATGGGCAAGACATCTCAACATTCACATAGACCAGTTTCGAGTAGTGCGATGGTTTCGATTCACCAAGGAAAGACCAGCCAAATACGCTTCACTCCAATGGCAGATCATGCATAGATGCCTACCCACTAATGATTGGTTGATTGATCATTCAAATCTAATGATTGGTTGATTGATCATTCAAATCTGGAACAGAGAGGTTTGGCGTTACCATGGTGTTGTTCTTGTCTAAAAGCCTTTCCCTCACAAAAATATAGAGAAACGATTGAGCATATTTTTACTCAATGTCCAGGGTCCATTCTTATGTGGCGTCGTTGGGATTGTATTTGGCGAAGACTAACGGGCCTTGATTAGCCGTGGGAATGAAAAACCCTTTTACTAGGGCAATGGAACCCGGTTGACTTGTCTCTCTCATCCTTTCAGTCCAATTTATTTGGCCTGGGTAGGAAAGCTGTCATATGGGCCATTTGGCAAAAAAGGTGTGTAAATGTAATGGAGGATGTGAGTATGGAAGGGAAGGAAGTTTCTCTTAATATCAAACAATTTGTGGAACCAAAAATTCGGACGCAATGGACTAAACTTAAGATTAAATTAAAAACTTTAACACAAAAGAAAGATATCAAGAAATCTATTCTCCAATTCACAATGGACTGGTTAGGGGGATCTCAGATGCAAGGAATTGGACAAGTGGTGTGGCCTGATGAGAATGGGTCTGGGATGATTCCTAAAAAGAGTTACGACAGTTCAACGACTGGTTCGATATTCAGCCAGGAGAGTTTCTCATAGATGTTGCATGTTTTTTCGAGCTGTTCCCTCCATCAGAGTTAGCTCTAGTGGAAACTCAATGGTTTGGGGGGRGGGGGGGGGGGGGKGAGAGGATAATGTAGTTTGATTTCTCATCATCAAGAGGATTAGAACTGCTAGGGATGCATGTCTGATATGGCGGTCCAATCAGGACTGAAGAGGTGGCTTTGATCCTTTTGTTATTTTTTTTGATTTATAGCATGTTGTAATTGTGAACATTTTTTGGGTACAAGGGACGCTGAACCCGGTTTTCAGCAGGTGATACTCCCCACCAATAGAATGGAGTCTCAACTGGGTGATTAGGAATGGATGCTCTTATCACCATTCCTAATGATTTCAGTTGTGTTTCTTTAAAAAAAAAAAAAAAAGAAAAAAAAAAGAAAAAAAAAAAAGGTTTGTGTTGCAAAATTGGTGCCTCCCGAGATGCCTGCTAGAAACAACAGGACTGATACAGCATGCCTGCCGTCCATGCAGTGATAAGAAAACACATATAACTTCGCAAACTACAATGTCAGTCCAACTTTTGCAAATTTGAATTTTTTGAACGATAAAAGTTCATAAAACCCTTTTGAAAGTTGCAAAGTTACTCCTCAGCGGTAACAGGCAATGCTGCGCCCGTCCATTTACATTTCATTTTCATTTACATTTCATTTCATTTAATTTCATTTCCATGTCCATTTCATTTCATTTCATTTCATTTACATTTCATTTCACATTGCGTCATCCATCTGGCATGGTGGGTTCTGTTTAAACCACCAGTACTTGGCCCAGCTATCGATGCCGAGCCGGCCGGCCCCCTGCGCACCAAGTTTTGCCGAACCGGCAGGGCGCCGTTTCAAATTTCTTTTGGCTGGTGCTTCCAGCCATTGTGGTCCGGTACCCTGGAGCCCTGCAGGCGCGGTGCATTAACGGGGAAGCGTCGCGACCGATAGCGCGGCCAAGTACTGGTTCGGTTTAACTTAACGGAGGCACAAATGAAGTCGGTGATACTTGCTCCCTCGCAAAACTCTGCAGATGCGATATCGCTCACAGAATTTGGAAAAATGCAGATCACATGTTGGTATGCTCGTATCACCCCCTCTAGTAGACAGCCAAGGCTTTCCGCCAAAAAAAAAAAAAAAAAAAAACGTTGGTAGCTTCACAACATGTGAGGTTATCCCTGTCTGTGGTAGGGGAAGCCCCTACCATAGCTTAGCATGAGAGAGTGACGTTCACGGGAGAGACCATAGCCTCTGCGAGCGCGCGCGCGCGCGCGCGCGAGAGAGAGAGAGAGAGAGAGAGAGAGAGAGAGAGAGAGAGAGAGAGAGAGAGAGAGAGAGAGAGAGAGAG